AAGCCTTGAATCCCTGCTTCCTTATTACATGGACTTAACTACCAGGCTCTGGCAAAAGCCAGACTCCAGGGCACTGAATTCAGATGAAAGAAAAGAAGGGCTGATTGCAACCATACCTCATGTGGAGCTCCTTTGAAGACGCTTGCAGACTGGTATATCGTTTCAGTCCAGAGCTTTATGTCTTCATTTTCCAACTCCTCTGCTGTCCGGTAGAGGGATTTGGGAACCAGCCCACCCTCTGGAACTTCACACTAGAATCATAAGCAGAGCCATTAGTTAAGTATTACTCCGTCCATAGATCCTCACACTATTATAATCTCTGCCTACTAGTCTCAGAAATGTAAACTCACATGCAGCCAGTGTTCTGAAAAATGAGCTGCGGACAACTCGAAAATAATTTTATGGCTTGTATATCATATGAAGAGGTGTATTTGTTTTACATATTCCAATAAAACAGCTGCTATGATCTGTTTTGGGGAGTCTGCAGAACCAGGTGCCAAGATTAATAAATTTAATACACACACAACAACAGCAAATGCTACAGTCATGCTGCCCTGTACTGAGGAAAGATATTACACTTAAGAATGTTGAAGAGAACAGCATTTATTTAAAAAATAAAGCCTACAAAGAAATTATAGGATTGGGGCTGCTAATGCAAGGAGTAAAGATGCAGGGAAGAGGTACAGCAACAGCTGCCAAGTAGAAAAAAGGATTCTGCAGTGAGGAAGGCAGCAGTTGTTCAAGCTAAAGCACTCATGGTAGCCACGTGCCGGAACTGATGACACAAATTCTCTAAGTTATTTTCTTTTTAAAAAGAAGCTACTCAGAAACAGTCTACCCAGAATTGTTTGGGGCAGCAGAAACATTAGATAACCGAATTACAAGAGAAGGTTGAAAGGGCATCTGAGAAGTCATTTTTGGTCAAATATCCAGAAGCAAAGAATTAAAAAAAGAAAAAGAAAAGACTCTGTTACTGCCTGTGACTGGCAGGAAGCATTGCAGCAATTTGCTTGCTGGTAACATTCACTTTTGCTTACTTAAGCAGTGGATTTTGCCAGTTTCTCAAGTTTCAAATTAGATAGTACAGACTCTCTCCACTGAAAGCTACTGCTGCTGTAAAAAGCAGCCCACAGAATATAAACACATGCTTTGCTCCAAAATGCTAACACAGAAGCACTACATTATAATTTGAGACTGCATTTTGATGAAACAGAACTGGATGAATTTTCATGAAAGACACAGAAATTAATCTACAAAATGTAACAGGGACTTAAAAAGCAAGCAAGCCTGAAATTACCATGTTTTAACACAGCTGAGTTTTAAAAAAGGAATGAGGGAAATGAGTGTTTTTGTGATGGAGGCAAGAGCAACTGCTCAAGTCTTGAGACAAAGGACTGATACCCTGCAGTAAAACAAACTTTCAGCACCTTGTGGTCAACAGGGATCCTAGGACACCTGCACAGCAGACACAGGACACCTGTGCTGCCCTGCTGGCAGATGTGCCATGTACTTCCTCGAGCTCCTTATGGCACCAGTGAGTTCTCTTGGGTTACACAGGCTCTTCTAATCAGGTGCCAGTGAAACTGGTCACTGAAGCGTGGTAGTCAGCATGACTTACCCGCAAACGGGCCCAAGCATATGGAAACCACATGCCTCAATATAATCTTGTTTTCTTGACAATTAAGACTACTACACATATGTAAACCAGCCGAAACACAAGCAATACCCTCTGAACATAAGGAATTTTTTGTATTTTTTTACTGTGGTAGTGACTGATGACTGAAACAGGTCGCCAAGAGAAGTTGTGGAGTCTCCATCATTGGAGATGCTCAAAATCTGCTTAAACAGGGCCCTTGAAATATTGTTGTAGGTGACCCCACCTGAGCAGTCTAGTTGGACTAGATGATCTTTAATGGTCCTTTCCAGCCTCAACCCTTCTGTGACACTGTGAAAACACACTAATATATTTCAAAAGCTGCTGCTCATAGCCTCTTAATTAAGCAATTGATTCGCAATATTTGGTGCCTAGAATATTTCAAAAATTTAACAGCAGTTAACTGCTCAAAAATCCTCAGGAGAAGAGCATTTCATAGTGGTGCTACTTGCCTATATTGAAAGGACTTTGACATTTCTAGCAATGACAAAGTAGAGGCAGGACTGACAAAGACGATGGACCTGAACTTCTCTTTCATATAGCAAATGCCAAGCTAGGAAACTGTGATAATGCACTGGTTTACAATAATCCTTTGTGGTTCTGAAGCTCATTTTCAGCAACTTCCCTCTGAAATTCTGACCAGCAATGACAAAAACCAAGCATTAACGGACAAAGACCTTACAAGTCACAAGATTTTATAGAGTACTCAAGATTCTTTAAGAAAAAAATTAAAACATAACTCATACCATATCTGTATTTAGTATTTCCGGTTCCAGCAAGCAGTTTACATTCTCCAGTGTGTCCCTTTAAACCCTCCCTGCGCCTCAAGACTGTCAGAAACAAGCAAACACTGCACGCAAAGCTTGACAGGGATCTTGCAGCTGTATGATCATCGTGACGCATCCAGGGGTGCCATCCTCTCCTTGCACAGTGTTGTCCCAGCACGTCTGCCTGAACTTGCATGGACAGTTCTATCAGTTCACTGAGAGAACAGTGAAGACTCTGTATTTTAACTACTCCCAGGTATTTTGTCAGTTATTTGAGACTTGTGAAGAAATATTGTATTTCTCTCTTTGTGGATCCAGGATAAGACTTAAGAGTACTACATCTTAGTCCCCCCAAATTGCTTATAGCAGACTGAAAACTATCCTCCAAATTATACTGGCAATTATTCTGTGCTTATTGAAAGGTGTGAGGAGAAAAAAAGGAAAGAACACACACATACCATGCACTCTCCACCAAGGAAATCAGGAATAATTTCTTTATCAATGTAATCCAGCAGACCCCCAGGGCCCTGGTAGTCATTTCCAGCATAAATAAGAAATTTCTTTCTGGTATTGTCATCAATGAAAGGACTAACCTATAAACAATGGAAGAGAGAACAGGTCAGGTCACCAGATTTTTCTTGTGTAAATTCAGATGGAATCAGTTTAATCACACTAAGCGTTACCACCACTGCTGCGCAAAGTCCACATTACAGAGAAGCTATATATGACTATATGAGTTAAGTTCTCTGGTGGCACTTCCACAACCACTCCAGGAATCAGGAATCAAGTGACAAGCTCAAGTGCTAACATGTCCTGCTTGTATCTGTTTCTAAAGCCTGACTTTCAAAGTGCTTATACAAACTGCAAGTGTGTAGCATTGTATTGAGGGCACTGTGGAAAATCTGGAATTGCAGACGTACCAGCGTCCAAAGAACTGGGAATACTCGGGGTGCTCTCAGGATAAGAAGACGGCCCAGAGTCTCAGGGTAATTAGCTTCAACCACCTCAATGATTCTTAGCAAAGCTTTGACACCAGGTCGCCATAAATGCCTCATGTTCAAACCTTCTAGATCTACTAGACAGGTCCAAGAACTGAATGAGAGAGAGACAGTAAAACAAAATGATAACATTAAAAAAAACAGAAAGTAGAAAGACAAATCAGCAGCATCGTAACTCTTCTTTTTACTCAAATGCCCAGTGTCCTGAAATCCGTGGACTCCACTGCTGTGTGTGTGGTGCTTCCTTCCATCACATCTCCTGGTTTTGCGACAGCTCTGCACACTGGAATTCAAGAGGACTGCCTAGCAGCGTGCCAGGCAGGCTTGCAGAGCACAGACACGGAGCGCTCTGCACATCATTCCCATCTCCCCACGGACATTTCAGACTCAGGACTCCAGCCAACACCAGCTGTCATCATCACCCTGCCCAAACACTAAATCATTACTTTTCCTGAGAAATCAATCAAGTGGCCACACCGCTAAGAAACAATTTAACATTCAAGGTGCAGATTTCCTGTACCAAGCATGTGCCTTTTTAAAGTGCCACTGCACTTCAGAGCTAATGCTGTTGTCAGATCTCCCTGAAAGATGCTTTTTATATAAGAGATGGACTCTTAATACTAAATACTGAGCTCCAGCATCTGCTTTAGCTACTTTCTAAGCTCAGGTCTTGCTCCAGGCATGGATTCAATATTTACAGCTGTGCTGTAAATCTACCAACATGAAATGACATCCTAGGATTCTACAAAGCAGCAAACATTTCTTTGTTTAAACATTTAAAATGTAGGTATTTTAAAGCTCAGAGCACCACTTCTGCAAGCCAAAGTCCAGTAGGCAGCTTTAGTTCTGACACACACACAGAACCCATCTTTTGGGTTTGGTTTACCACTGAGTACTGACACACATGCAGCCCTTTACAGATCAAGGGAAGGAGTCAGTAACTGAATAGAGCCCAAGAAATGTAGTTTCACGACAGGGCCAAGCCTTCCATTCATTCCACTTCCTTTCATTCCTGGCTATAAAACCCCCTAGAAACAGGGAAAGGAAAGAGGGGTGCATTGGTTTGCAGACATCCGACACTGCACAGAAGCAGAGTACCCCAGGTGGAATCACTGTGAGCATAAAACACACGTGCATTTCCCCCAGGGCTCAGCTGCACTGACTCACTGAAGTGGGAACTGAGGTGGCTCTCAGTTAAGTACAACTGTATAAATGTCTGCATGCAAGAGACACAGACCCTCTGCTCAAGTCACTTAATAAATTGAGCTCAGCAATGTCACACTGCCTGATATTTCCTTCTCCTTCCTCTTCTGCCCATTATTTTATTTTACCTTATTGGCCTGCCAAATACTTTCGTGTTCTCCTCACATCGCCTTAGTCCTTCTTCATTTATAGAAAGAACCTGTACAAGAAAACACACTTTTAGAGAAGGCCAAAACTGAGCAGGTGAGATAAAGAAAAGCATGTTGGTAACTGAAGCTTAGTCAAAACTACAAGTTCTGGCCACCATACACTAACTTGAGTGGAAAAAATACATAAGGGATTTAGGATTCATGATTTCTAGAAGCATTACAAAGATCAAAAAATACTAAGGTCCTGCGCATTACTTGAATAATGCAGCAGGGAGTTCTATCTAGTGCATTCACACCAACCTCTTCCAAAAGATAACCTAGAAATTACTATATTTATCCCATTGGTTCAGCTTGTTGTAAAATAAGCATGCCTTTCTATAAAAAAAGCATATAAATAATATCCTCTAAAAAGCTGAGACCCCAGAGTGCTACAAGCAAGTCTGCCTCTCTGAACTTCTACATCACTACTCTCTACACCTGCCTCTCTTTAAGCTTTGATTTTCAACTTACTCAGAAACTAAAGTTGTTTTTCAAGTCCGAGCAAGCAACCTTGAAACACAACTAGCGCAAGCGAGTCAAATTTAGTATGTGCCTGGAACATGCCACTGGTGAAAGTGTACAATTCAGCCTCTGCTTCTAATGGCTACTTTGGCCACATCAGTACTTAAGAGTCAAAAAATTCTTCAGAACTTGGGCTTCTGCCAGCTTTCTGCTTGGAAAAGGAGCAGATCCACATCACAGTCTGTCTGGGCGATGCCTTTAAAGCAGCTAACATTAGAGGCAAGTACTTTTCCTTAAAAATAAACTATTCTCCTTGAAATACGGACTTGAGAAACAACTTAGCATGGCGTTTTCTCTCCTGTACAAAAGCAGAGACTTAACTTTGAAGTACTGCACAACTGCAGAAGAATGTGTGAAAATGCTAAGCAATAACTACAGGAGCTGCCAAGAACGACGCCTTTCCGCCATCGCTTGCAGTTGGAAGGAATGCAGAAGACCAGGAGCTCTGAGAACTGCTCAAACCAAAAACAGACGGGCCGAGAGTACATCAAAATACCCAGTGTGATGAACGTTCTGGCAGAGTAGGGGATTTCTAAATGAAAATATCACATTGTTAGGAACTCGCTGGCTCCAAAAATACTTACGTATCGAAGCAAGGCCTCTTCCCCAAGAGCTCGCACTAAACCTTTGGTATCCATCTGTCCCAGTCTCAGCACATACAGTGGGCGACCATCTGAGTAACAAGAACAAATATAACAGCACAAGCCTTAGTGCAAATTACTTATTTTTGCAATATCAGATAAACTGAGTGAACTAGTTTTATGTAAAAATCCAAATGGAAACAAGTCACAGCTCATTCAAATCTTGAGGTATGGCTTGGAGCTCCTGGAGCAGATGGTGAAATAAAATTCACCCTGTCTGGCTACATCAAAAAGTCACCTATAGCTAAAGTGCAAAGCTTAATGGAGACATCTTGATGCAAAAAAAACCACTTCCCCTACCTAAAAGGGCAGCCCAAAGGACTTCAGCAAGAACTTTTTATAGATCTTGGCACACACAATCAAAGACACAAGACTACAATTAGTTTTCAGCATTGCTAAGATGCAGGAAACCTTGTCCATTAGTCGAACTAGTGACTCCCTACCTAAAAGGGCAGCCCAAAGGACTTCAGCAAGAACTTTTTATAGATCTTGGCACACACAATCAAAGACACAAGACTACAATTAGTTTTCAGCATTGCTAAGATGCAGGAAACCTTGTCCATTAGTCGAACTAGTGACTGAGACACAGACCCTCTGCTCAAGTCACTTAATAAATTGAGCTCAGCAATGTCACACTGCCTGATATTTCCTTCTCCTTCCTCTTCTGCCCATTATTTTATTTTACCTTATTGGCCTGCCAAATACTTTCGTGTTCTCCTCACATCGCCTTAGTCCTTCTTCATTTATAGAAAGAACCTGTACAAGAAAACACACTTTTAGAGAAGGCCAAAACTGAGCAGGTGAGATAAAGAAAAGCATGTTGGTAACTGAAGCTTAGTCAAAACTACAAGTTCTGGCCACCATACACTAACTCGGGTGGAAAAAATACATAAGGGATTTAGGATTCATGATTTCTAGAAGCATTACAAAGATCAAAAAATACTAAGGTCCTGTGCATTACTTGAATAATGCAGCAGGGAGTTCTATCTAGTGCATTCACACCAACCTCTTCCAAAAGATAACCTAGAAATTACTATATTTATCCCATTGGTTTAGCTTGTTGTAAAATAAGCATGCCTTTCTATTAAAAAAGCATATAAATAATATCCTCTAAAAAGCTGAGACCCCAGAGTGCTACAAGCAAGTCTGCCTCTCTGAACTTCTACATCACTACTCTCTACACCTGCCTCTCTTTAAGCTTTGATTTTCAACTTACTCAGAAACTAAAGTTGTTTTTCAAGTCCGAGCAAGCAACCTTGAAACACAACTAGCGCAAGCGAGTCAAATTTAGTATGTGCCTGGAACATGCCACTGGTGAAAGTGTACAATTCAGCCTCTGCTTCTAATGGCTACTTTGGCCACATCAGTACTTAAGAGTCAAAAAATTCTTCAGAACTTGGGCTTCTGCCAGCTTTCTGCTTGGAAAAGGAGCAGATCCACATCACAGTCTGTCTGGGCGATGCCTTTAAAGCAGCTAACATTAGAGGCAAGTACTTTTCCTTAAAAATAAACTATTCTCCTTGAAATACGGACTTGAGAAACAACTTAGCATGGCGTTTTCTCTCCTGTACAAAAGCAGAGACTTAACTTTGAAGTACTGCACAACTGCAGAAGAATGTGTGAAAATGCTAAGCAATAACTACAGGAGCTGCCAAGAACGACGCCTTTCCGCCATCGCTTGCAGTTGGAAGGAATGCAGAAGACCAGGAGCTCTGAGAACTGCTCAAACCAAAAACAGACGGGCCGAGAGTACATCAAAATACCCAGTGTGATGAACGTTCTGGCAGAGTAGGGGATTTCTAAATGAAAATATCACATTGTTAGGAACTCGCTGGCTCCAAAAATACTTACGTATCGAAGCAAGGCCTCTTCCCCAAGAGCTCGCACTAAACCTTTGGTATCCATCTGTCCCAGTCTCAGCACATACAGTGGGCGACCATCTGAGTAACAAGAACAAATATAACAGCACAAGCCTTAGTGCAAATTACTTATTTTTGCAATATCAGATAAACTGAGTGAACTAGTTTTATGTAAAAATCCAAATGGAAACAAGTCACAGCTCATTCAAATCTTGAGGTATGGCTTGGAGCTCCTGGAGCAGATGGTGAAATAAAATTCACCCTGTCTGGCTACATCAAAAAGTCACCTATAGCTAAAGTGCAAAGCTTAATGGAGACATCTTGATGCAAAAAAACACTTCCCCTACCTAAAAGGGCAGCCCAAAGGACTTCAGCAAGAACTTTTTATAGATCTTGGCACACACAATCAAAGACACAAGACTACAATTAGTTTTCAGCATTGCTAAGATGCAGGAAACCTTGTCCATTAGTCGAACTAGTGACTCGCACCGAAGGAGGCAACCCTTGTGTGGTCCATGCCATGACATTGCTCCAGACAGCCTACAACCTCTTTGGAAATCTGCATTTGAGTTCTGAGAGTTGATGGCAAAAAAAGTGTTAATCCAGAGACCTGCTTTCTTCAGTATTTGCTGAAATCACACCTTTTAGCTATGCTATTAAATATAATGCTGGCAAACAGCCCCGCTAATCCAGGTTAAGCCTGGTGAGGACAGATCTGTTCCAGAGATCAGCTTCGGAGAGGCCCTCTGCATTCAGAGACTTGTCTTTCCACAGTCATCTTGCTGCACACCAGGGCATCCCAATACTGCCAAGGATAAAGGCCCTAAGAAACAACAGCTGCGTTGGCTGAATTTGAGAACCAAAATTGTGCATTTTTGCCTCTTCGTAATATTCAAGGAACTGGTTCTGTGAAACATCTTCTATCCTCAAGCTATCCTTCTATCCTCTAGCCATGATACATTTTAGACCTTTGTTCCATCTACTCTAGTACACAAGCTTAATCATCATCAACTTATAAAACTAAATGGGCTAAGGCAAGAATAGAAAGGTTTTCTACAAAAAACAATCTGACCAAAGTTCTGTTGTCTGCGTTTAACTTCATTTCCTTTCAACAACTGCAAAAAGAAAAGTTCCAAATTATCAGTAAGTCCTTTCGGACATGGGGAAATGAGCTGTCAAGATTAACTCTGCAAGTATTTTTTTATAGAGTGTAACTGAGTTACTTATTCAGCTGCAACACTACCACCGTTCAAGTTCACTGAATCTCTTCTATTTTACTAGGTGGTCTAAAAGAAAACGTTATCTTAACATTAAAACACAGGTTTATCTTGGAAGATCCTGTTTAGCTTTTGAAAGGGAAAGTGCTGTTTCATGGCAGGTCTCCCTCCCTCCCTGATGCACACAGATGCAGAAACAAACTAATAGTTTATTAACCTGCTCCACCCAAATGATGCATGAAGGAAAAACTGGCAGTGCTGCATTACCTCTGTATATTTTATAATTCATTAGAGCTTTCTGGGTTAAAAAGTTTGACTAAAGCACTCTTACCAAAATAAAAGCCACTTAGACACGCAGAAAACTGTACTAATTACAAGAAAAAAGAATTCCTTAGCACTAATAGCTCATTCAAGACAATACACTTTATAACTGTTGTCTTCTTTGCTTAGTAGCTAAAAGCTACTAAGAATTCAGCTTTGGCACATTTTGCATATGTGGGAGGAAAGGAGGAAGAAAAGAAAAGAGGGCTTTGTAAAAGAACCTACCCACTATACAATTTTTTAATTACAGAAAATTCCTCAGCTTCAAGTTCTCCACTGTTTCTGCTATTGACAAACCTGGCTTTCATTATGGGTGTGCTACAAGAGACAGAAAGAACGAAGGGCAGAATGAAGAGTTTGCAGGGAGACTGGAGAACTCCTGAGAAAACACTGAACATCCTTCTGAAACATTCTCTACCCCTTTACCCCTTGCTGGTTGGACCAGTTGCATGCTACTGATGGAGGAAGATTTTGGGAAGCCAGGACAAGGAAAGGACAGAAAGGAAGGGCACATGCAGCTCTTTCCTAGCATCTACAAGCGTATTCTCATTTTCCCTCTTCTTAGTTTGAGGTTTGTCAATCCCAAAGCAGCAAGGCAGGTCCATTGAGGCCCTCTCAGCCTCGCAGTGATTGAACTTCTCCTTGGCCCTGCCTGGCTCTTGGCCACTATTGCTGACAGCTTCCTGTGCTGTTTCATAACGCTTCTTGTGACAGGAAGAGCTAGCAGGAACAATGGTGCCTAGTGGGGAAAAGACTAAATGAGAACACAGATAACTCACAGTAAGAGATCATTTCCTTTCCCAGAGTCCACCCTGCCTCAAGCAACAAATTCCAAACATGTGCACGTGGCAGCAAGAAGCTGAGTGCCCCATGAAGCAGGCTGAGGAATCTGTGGGGGTTGGGAGCAGGGGTGGCCGCAGCTCACCCTGCAGAGTGAAACCAGCCAAAGCCTTTTACCTTCTTAAATAAACCTGCTCTACTTGATGTTTTGTAACACTACACTTACCATTAATTGATTTTGAAGCCAAGTAAGCATTCATTTATGCCATCAAGCAGATATACCCAACATCAGGAGTAAGCTGATTAGAAAGACAGACTTATTTACAAACATCTTCTAATCACTAAAAGAGAATACTCATCATAACCTTCTGCATATCTGCATAACCTTCTTCTAAGCATCTTAGAGCACTGAGGAAATGCAATTAATAGCCTTTTCATGCTACTGGCAAAACACTGCTCTTCAGAGATCAGTATCATGCCTGGTATTAGGCAGATAAAGATTAGGAAATGGGAGTCTGGTTCAGCCAACTAGGGAGCTGGAAATACCAACTTAAAAGCATTTAATACACAATAACTGAGAAATTCCACCAATCTTTCTGGCCTTCTCTAGTGAGCAGAAGGACAACAACTATCACCTCTAACTCAGAGCATAAATATGTTTTTCCTATCTACAGTATAGAGCATACCTTTGTCATGGTGATGCCAGCCTCCTGCGTAGTAATCCAGGAGTACTTGAGGAGGGTTCCAGGTGTCCAGAATATAGTCCACCTGATGCTGTTTACGCCACGTTAGTGACTGGCAAAGAATCTCTCTGGCTTTATCAATGTTGAAGTCCCGGGCACGCAAAAATCGTAAAATGTGCTCATCCTTTGGAATCTATTAAAAAAAAAAATCATATTCAATGCTCGTAATGAAGACAAATGAGAAAACAACAGAAGCTAAAGAAGGTATAGTCCTGAGCCAGTGCAAGGGGACAGCATAAAACACTGCAAGTTACTCAAGCAAATCATTCTTTGCTTGCAATAAAATCACAAGTGCCACCAGGTATCACGGCTACCTTGATTTGAGGGATGCAATTTAAGAAACAACTTTAACCTAATTATTTACAGCTGTATGATCTGTATGTATTGTATGCAGAGTAGTCCAATTTATATGAATCTGGGGGCAAAGCACAAATTGCATTTCATTGCTGAGTAAAAGAAAGCCCAGAAGCCATGATATATCATGTGAAGCGCAAGCTATGGAAAAATCTAAGACTATACCAGCTTTCAGTGCTCTGATGGGTCATATTATCTTCCTTTCAATTCTACACTTAGGGACATAAATTTAAGGATGCTTGGCCAAAAATGTAAAAAGGAGGTTATCCTAGAATCAGGCAGACTTGTAAAACTGACATCATTTCCCTGTGCTGGACCAGAGACATTCTGGGAGGCTAATCATTTAAGCACCTCAGTCAGCTGAGCCAGCTGGACAGTTGCAACAAACTCTTTTTACTGCCAGTGTGGAGGTTTAATTTAGCTGTTCCACTTCTGCAGGAGCCCCTCTCTCTTTTGACCAGAGGCACTTAACCAGGACCCGATGAAGTGTGGCATGATGTTTCATCCACCTTGCCTTGCATCTCACACACTCTGCAGTGAAGAGCCACATGAGACTAGCAAGAACTTACTTTGCCCTTGTGCGTCTCCTGCAGCCACTTTCTAAGCCGAATGAGGCAGCTTTCTTGCATCGGTGTCAGGTCACCCAGATATCGCTTGATGTAGTCTGCATCTAGCTTGTCTAAAAGAAGATAAACGTAAGATTAGAGTGGTCACAACTGGCCCATCTGCACATCAGAAGCACAACACCAAGAGTCCCTGCAGCCCAAACAACCCCGTCCGACAGACAGCACGCAGACAGCGGTACCATCAGGCGTTCCAGCTGTAGGCTCTGCAGGGCTGCTCGAGGTGTTGAGGATCTCCTTGCTGTTCAAGGCCTCCTTTGTGGCAGATTCCGGTATATTAATGGCAGGGGAAACAGGTCTTCTTGTGTGGGATGTGCTGCTCTCCAAACTGCATGCAACAGGAGGAGTCCAGCGAGGAACAAAGGTTATTCCTTCTTCCTCCAGCTGCTTCAGGTAGTATTCTATTATTTCTTTTCCCTTCAAAAAACAAAATTTTACTTTAGCTAATAAAAAACTCCATTTAGACACAAAGAGAACTGGGCTGGAAATCCATTAAATGTTCAAATCTTTCTAAAGATTCCACTTCCAAATACAGACACACACTTTGCCCTAGGCTAAAGGGCAGGCAGCCCAGTTTTTTCAGGGCAGCAACCTGTTACTTCACTCTAGCTACTCTGTCTTTTTATAAGTTAGAGCCAGACACCTCCTTCATGACTTTCAGCTCACCTTTTTAATATTGCTGGTGTACTGCTTCATGGCAATCTTTTCCACTGTGCTTTCAAAACCAAAGAAAGATTTTATGTCCAGACTTGCTGACTGTTCAAAACAGGTCCAGTCTTCATTGTCAGGATGAACCTGTTAGTTAACAGGAGGCCATACAGTTTAGTTACCCCTTTGGTATTTATTTTCTCACAGTATTTTAAACGGTTACCTCATGTTTTTCAGATTCACAAAATCAAAAGTGTCTAAATGGAATTTTCAATCTTTTGCTTCCTTTACAAACCACGGACAGAAAAAAGGGAACACTGTGATGGCTTCTCAGATTTTTGTTCCTCCTTTTGTTCCCTTTGCTACCTTTTTCTGTTTGCACCAGGCAAGAGCCAACAGACTCTTTGACAATTTGTACAATTTACAGCACATTCTTGAGAGGTCTCAGGACAGGTCTCAGCCCATCCATGAAGCAGGTAGCATAGCTCCCAGTGAACTCTGGGCTCCTGCAGCCTGGGCTGATAAGACAGCAGCAAATACAGTGCAAGATTTCCAAGCCCTGCAGTCTAGACATGTTTGCAAAGGCAGACTGCAACAGACCATTCCCTCGTTGACCTACAAAGTACCTTAATATTTTGCAGACAGAGAAGTATTTTACTTCATTCTCTTATAATACTACAGAAAGAAACAAAACCATTTCATTTGATTTGCAGCTGAACAAGCTGAATTTTGCAGCTATTCAAGAAGCCTTTTCTACTTTCTCACCTTTTCATGCTTAGAGCATCCCAGCTAGTTCTTATATTTTATCATAATTAGCTGACAGATGATGACCAGTTTCAGTCTCTACTACTACTCTGAAGAAAAGAAGTTTTTCTAAACTCTCTTCAGCTAAAAGAATTGTCCAAGGATGTTCTGATCTGGCTCTCAAACCCTGGTTATATAAAAACCTCTTGGCAGGCTGAATATCTGAGTGTGCAATTGCATGGGGGCATACAAGAGCCTGTACCACCTAAGCAAGTGCAAGCCATGAAAACAGTCTGTAAGAATGCTTCCCTTCAACCATAAATTCAACTATACAGTAACCCATTTAACTAAAAAGGATTTTTAAAAAACAATTTCTTCTTGAACCATGTTACCAGTCATTGATCATTACATAACTGAATCCAGTACGGGCATTACGTTTTGAATGCATTTAACACATGTACCGTTTTTTGTATAACATTTTCCCTGTTTAAAGGGATCTTTCACAGAAAAAAAAACACGCAGGTAGAAAGACATTTTTAATCGAGGATTGGGCCTTGGAAATAAGTGTAGTAATTTTTTTTTTTTAAAAAATCAGTTAGTGTCAAGCAGGTTTCCGCTGATGTTTAAAGCATAATTTTGCACACAACAAAATAATTATTACCTGGACTTAAAAAGATTGCTACAATGCAAATAATCGGCTTCCAACTGCCAGCTAAGATTTGACCTGCAACATCCACTCCAAATATTACTTCCATAAATGTCTATTGTACCAGCCTATGGCTGTTTGATAAGCCATAAAGCAAAAGCATGCCCACAGCACGAAGTACCCTGCCACACTCCACTCTGCCAGAAAATGAAGTCTGAGGAAAACCACGATGGCAAGAACTAGGTTAAAACATAGCTGACTTGCTATATATTTGTCTGGAATTGCACAGAAGGCAAATAAGCCATGTTCAGCTTCCCTTTAACAGCTCTGTCAAGGTGTCATCAGCTTCAAGGCCTGCCCTGCTACTACAGACCACAGAGCTGCCTAAACAGAGCTGTCAAACGCAGCAAGTTATTTCACCATCTTCGGCGATATAAGGTGCTCAACAACAAGGGTGTCAAACTGGCTTCCTTTCTTCAACCCAGTGTGTTAGATTTAGCACTAACAACAGTTATCACTCACGCTGTTGTGTTGGGTATTTTTTCTCATAAAGCAAAAGCCAAGAACAATCCAACTTCTGTTTGAGGAGATCTAAACACGGACTTAATTCCATCTGCAGCACCACCAAGAGCCTCTTACTCACTGTGTAGCAGCAGTGTTCATTAATAATGACTCTGTTGGAGAAGGTTTCGTTGTAGGCCTCAATATGCAAAGTCCGCTCCCGTCTGTTCAGGGAATTCTTCTGGACAAAGTAGACGTAATCCACTCCTGCAATCTGAGGAAGATGTCACAGGCTCTGTTAAGGTCTAACATTCATGTGAAATGATTTCAAAAAGTAAAAGACATCTCCTTTAAACCTACTTACCTTTTTCAATAGCCGGGGTGCATCTATATCCAGCTTGCAGCGTCTTTCAATCACATGGATAGCTTCATCCTCGCTCTTGTATTCATTTACAGTGTCACTAGCTACAAACATAGGGATTAGCGGACACGTAGGAAATCTTCTTTCATATGCCTGGAAAGACAGAAAGAGAAGAAAACAAGAACAGTTAATTCTTCTGTGTGTGTCTGTGGGGGGTGTTTCATTGACACAACAAAATTTTAAATTATGACACTCCTCGTCCTTTTCATAGAAACAGCTGAGCCTTCCATCTCTTCTCCGGAAAGCCCTGGCCATGGCTGAAAATCACAGTATGTTCCAGACAAACCATTTATTAAGGTGCCTCTCACACAGCCCTCATTGTTCCTACAGCAAAGCAGTTTTTAAAACTATACAGGAAAACATCCCGTTTCTCCTCTTCTCTCCCACCCTGCAAAGGAATTTACATACAGCAACCATCCTCTTTTCAGTATTAACAGTAAACCAAAATCTTAAGACCCTCTATTTCTAGAATGCTACAAGAGAAAACAATGCCTTTGGTTAGGAAAAACCCACACGCTAATTATTTGTGCTCCATCAAGATGGCTAGAGGGTTTCCCATACAGCTCCCAAAGGGCCAATAAAACCATTTCAAAGCTTGTTTCTTAAGTTAATCAAGCTCTCAAGCCACCAGTGCACAGGGTATTCCTAATGATTTCACTGCACCTTTTATCAGTTTACAATTTTGACAACAGACTGCAAAGCTTTCCAATAAAATGAGTCAATTTAAATGTTTTGCAATAAGCCAAAGAAACTTGTAGCCCTGAATCTACGTAAAGAAGATGGTCATATTAACGAGTGGATCTGCTAAGTGACACACACAGAGACATTGGTACGAATCAGACACCCTCATCAGAAGCCT